ACTGAGGAGCTCATGTCCAAGGCTAGCCTTGTAGGAGATGCAGGAGCAGATCCACAGCCCTCCGGCTGGTACTCTCAAGTTCTCGGTCTGCAGGGAAAATACTCCCACTCATCCAACCTTTGTTTCACCCATATTTTTACATGTTAACTGAATAAACCAAACATTGGGCAACCAAACTGAAAGGCTCTTACCAATTCTCACTTAATCCATTAACATGGGTTATATAATGATATACTGAAGTCTTCAAAATATTCCAAACACACAAATACAACGTCTACTGTTCTTAGACTAGGGTTTTGTATTTTGTTTTTTGTTTTTTCCCCCAAAGCCCCCGTACATAGTTGTATGTCATAGTTGCACATCCTTCTAGTTGCTGTATGTGGGACGCGGCCTCAGCACGGCCAGAGAAGCGGTGCGGCAGTGCGCTCCTGGGATCCGAACCCCCGGCAGCCAGTAGCAGAGCACCCGCACTTAACCGCTAAGCCACGGAGCTGGCCCTAGACTAGGATTTTTAAAGCCATTATTTTCTTGAAGTGGATTAGTCATTCAAAGAGTCTTAACTCTTTCAGATTACCAAGGAAGCATTTAGTGCATTAAATCAATAAAACTATTGTGTATTGGGGAATCAGGACATATTCAAGATCTTTGCAAATTCAGTTACAACTATAATTATTCTCATGCATGTGTATACTGAAGTATATGTGATATATAATAAAGTGAAAGATCACCAAATTTGGAGTCAGAGCAACCTGGGTTCAAGAATCCTGGTTCTGCTGTTAACATACAGTGTAACCTGGAGAAATTATTTAACGTCTCTGAGCTTCATTCACTTCATTCAAACAATGCATAAATAGGGTCCAGCCGGGCGGCATAGCTGTTAAGGTCACGCGCTCCGCTTTGGCGACCGGGGGTTCGCAGGTTCAGATCCCGGGCGCAGACCTACACACTGCTCATCAAGCCATGCTGTGGCATCCCACACATAAAAAAAATGGAGGAAGATGGGCACAGATGTGAGCTCAGGGCCAATCTTCATCAGGAAAAAGAGGAGGATTGGCAACGGAGGTTAGCTCAGGGCTAATCTTCCTCACCAAAAAAAAAAAAAAAAGAGAGAGAGAAATAATAAAAATAACTAAAAATATTGAGCAATTACTACTATGTGCGAGATCAAGACTAAGTGTTTTAGAGGCAGAATCTCTCACTTAATTCTCAGGACAATTTAATGGGAGAAGTAATATTATCCTCTTTCACAGATGAGGAAACTGAGGCAGGGGAAGTTGAGTAACTTGCTCACCATCATAAAACTAAAGCCTGTGTTCTTCCCACGGCTCTAAACTGTCTATTCTGTAGACTTTTCAAAATGACTGAAGACAATGCATATACCTAGAGAAGGGCTTAGCCCACATATGTCCTCAATACGTTTTACTAACACTATTAATTAATAAACAACAGATAAATAACAACAATGCTGGTTTGATGAACTGATATATACAATTGTGTTTCTTCTTCAGTTTTCAAGGTCAAATTGTTGGTTATGCACTTCTTACAAACAGATTCACAAACATTTATGGAGCACCTATGTCGTGGCAGGCATTCTGCTCCCCACTGTGGGTCTGCAGCTGTGTGAAACAAGCCCTGTCTCTGCCCTCACAGGTCACCATGTATGGGCTGCGGGAGTGGACTGAAGGCCACCGAGGAGAAATGTAACCATCTCCTAAAGAGATCAGTCCTTAAATTGGATCAAAAGCACAGCCCACCTATTTGCTGATGGAGAACAGCAGGTAGAGAACGGCGGCACATCTCAGCAAGTGCACATCAACAGGAAGAATCAGATGGTGTTCTTCACCACTACGAGCCTTTTCATTCTGCTTTTTTCCAAGGCTAAAAAAATCTTTTTGCAAATTTTACAAATACCAGTGTATCATTTCCATTTTCATTCAACCTCATACATGTAAGCTTTCTTGGGAGTTTTGCATTTCTAGGTTTAATTCTGGGTTCTTTAGATGGAAGCACTCACATCTCTCCTAAGCAATCCTACTATGAGGTCTATCTTTATGTCTAGGATCCTAGCCTATGATTTAAAAACAACCAAAACCAAAAATCTCTCTAAGACACCATTATTATAGCTAATCACTAATCATGTATTTTTTTTCCCATTTTTCCAGTAGCTTCTCTTTCATGCTAGATAGATTCCAAAAACTAAATCTGTAGTCTGGCAGGCTAACCATTACACCGCTATCACCTCGTATCCCCTTGTTATTCCATCACCAGTTATGCAGTCCACAAGGGAGTCGATCATACAAGGGTCTGCTACCCAGAGATCAAATACGTGTAGCAGCTGTTTATTTGCAAGTACAGAATATGATGAACACATGGTATGGAAGGATGTTTTTTAATGCTGGTATCTTCTCATTTACATTAGATTATCCACTATCCTTTTTCCATTTTTCCATTCTGCACCTGTGATAAATAGACTTTTTTCCCCACTAAACTTCACTGAAATAGAAATGACTAGAATGTCATCAAGTGTCTCCAATAGCCAAGGCACCACAACATAAAAACAGCTCAAGGTTTCAGTACTAAGAGTGATAATATTAATCATAATAATAGCAGAAAATGAGCAGGTACAAGTTCTTACTATGTGCCAGGCACTGCCTGGGGACTTTACATATATTATCTCAATTATTATTCATAATAACACCATGACATAGGTCGATGTTGTTATCTCCATTTTATAGATGAGAAAGCTGAGGGTGCAGAGTTTGTTACTTACCCAAAGCCACCAAGCTAGGTGACATAACTGTGATTTAAATCCAAACAAGCCTGACTCTGCCCTGCCCCCACTTTACACTGGGAATGAGGGAGAAGAGCAATAATGGAGTGGAAAGTCCTTAATCATTATTAACTCATTACACACACACCCACTGAGCACCTAGTACTGGCTGGGCACAGGTCTACTCATGAGCCAAGTTCCTTGCCCTGGAGAGGCATGTTCAGCTTGGAGAAGTAGAATCTCCACAAACAACTGACGTCCTCACCACAGGGCAATAATCGGTAGACGCCAAAGTGTGGAGGGCACAGAGAAGGTGGGGCCCTGCCGGGGGCACCTGGGGAAGGCATCCTAGATGAGGTATCTTCTGAGCAGGCATGCAAGCAATACATGAGAGTTCTCAAGCTGGCTAAGCATGGAAAGGTTAGAGCAGGTGGAGATCAAAGCTGGGACAACAGCACAGAGGAGTGGCGGATGGGGAACCGCGAGCACAGCAGAGGGCTGCAGAGCAGGGTGCCTGGTGGAGACTGTGGGAATAAGAGCAGAAGGGCAGGCAGCTTTGACAGCACATTAGGCTCAGGCATTAGGACGGGAGCAAGGAGGGGAGAGGTATCATATAAGGGGAGGAGGCAGGTGAGGAAATATGGGACCAAACAGGACCACACGGGGCTGCCAGTGCAAGTGACCACTCTACAGAGCATAACATATGCAATTGCCATAAAATCCAATAAATCATGTGAACTGGTTTTCCAGGTGCTTTTTATTACAACTACAGATTATGATAGGGGGCCACCAAAGAGGCAAGTTTTGTTGGAAAGAAGAGTGGTAGATACAAAGGTAACAGTGATCCTCAGTAGGAGCCTTGGGCTCCAAGGAAAGGAAGGTGGAGCTTGAGAGAACGAGGAACTTGGGTAGAGAGGGAGAAAAATCATTTCTGAGCTGGAAAGGGCTGCTGAAACACGAGGCAGGCAGCATGGAGACAGACGAGTGATTCGGCTGTGCTTTCAGCATCACTGGGGCTGGATATCAGGCATAAGGGCAATGGGCGGGACGAGGAGACAAGGTGAGAGCGTCATCCCATCTGTCTTAAAATTAATCAAGTGGTTCAAGTGAAAAAAATGCCCCTTTGAACTGATAATACATCAATCATTGCAACATCGTTTGAGAAAACATTTTGATGGGCAGGCTCAGTCATGTATTACGAGGATTTGGGACACTATTTTACTGCTCCTTGGGTTAATATATTTTCTGTTGGTGGAAAGGTGCACAGTGCCAGTCAAGCTTTCCTTGGTCTGGCTGCTTAACGGCTAACTAGACTACAACATACGTCTTTAAACTGTCAGATCTGGACTCTGCCTATAATCTCTCCCCATAGATAAGAACCCGTATTTCAAGAAAAGGAAAGTACTCTTTGTATCCTAAATTGGTCAAGACGCTCTTGTCAAGAATATAGCTCTATTGTGTACTTACACTACAGCAAAAGAATAAACTCAATAAGCTCTGATTTGGTATTCTATGCAACAAAATTTGCAGTAGGAAAAAGGAGTCAAAAGATATTGCTTATGACAGCTTATAATTGGACTTTGTGTAGGCATCATTTAAACTGTATTTCCCTTGATGTAGCAATGTTTCCTTTTAGTTTCTCCTACTTTTCTGTCTCTATAGATTATCACTTCCACTGCACACACTTCAAATGGAAGAGCTATGGCCAAGAGCCAAAGAGTAGAGATAAGTCTGGCAATGCATGCTGCCAGGTAACCATCTTAGAGTACAGCAGGAGCCCTCAAGGGCTATGAAGTTCAGTGTGGAAAGCCTAGACTTTGGTGCCACACAGACCTGGGTTCAAGTCTCAGAGCTACATCTTATTAACTCTAAGACATAATGCATGCAAAGCGCTTGGCCCAATGTCTGGCACACAGTAGACACTCAACAAATAGAAGCTGTTATTACTTTAAAATTAATTTAAAGCATAAAACGGAAAAGCCAGAGCCCAAGTATGATGGCTTCTTACTTCAAAGGCATAAATTCTGTCTCCCTGTCAAATGTAAACACCTCTGTCAACTTCTCACAAATATCTGGAGCCATGAACTTGCCTAAAACTCTTACTACCACAAGAAACTGACATTCTATGTGTCAATTTCTTGGGTTCTCCTCTCGCTTCCATATTATTCCTTATGAAGTGATCTAAAAGTTAAGAGATTAATAAATAGAAACTGTAGATTTTTGGTCTTACCATTTTTGTCTGCTCTCCTCAGTATCTGGAAAAGATAAAGGAAAAATTTTATCACCACTTTTTGTAAGTATTGCAATGGACATTATACTCACACATAATTCATTATTATTAAATAAAAGAAGTTCCAATTTTAAATAAATATTTCCCAATTGAGATCTTTCTTTATAACAGTCAAAAACTGAAAACAACCCAAATGTCTATCAACAAGTGAATGGACCAAGTAGCCATGGTATATCCACATAATGAATACTACTGAACAATAAGAAGGAAGGAGCTCTTGATACCCACAACAACTTGGATGGATAACAAAGTAATTATGCTGAGTAAAAAACCTAAACACAAAAGAATACCTACCATATGATTCCATGTGCATAAAATTCTAGAAAATGCAAACTAACCTACAGTGACAGAAAGCAAATTAGGGTTTGCATAGGAATGAGCAGGGCAGGGAGGACTGGATTACGAGAGGACGTGAGGAAACTTTTTGGGGTCATAGACATATTTATTATCTTGATTGTGGCAATGGCCTCACAGGTGTTTATATATGTAAAACTCATCAGTGTTTCACTGTGCAATTTAATGTAAGTCAATCATATCAATAAAACTGGGAATAAAGAGAAACAAAATAAATTGTGGATAAATAGAAGCTAACATGTCTATATTATATCTTCCATGCATTAATTATATGATCTTGGACCCATTTTAAATCATCTTTGATGGATATGATACCATCCAGTATCTCTGGTAATGATCTCCAATTTTCTTCTGAGAAACCAATCTTTCCCCTACTGTCAGCCCATATGCTCCAGGGTTGGGCAGAGAACGCAGGCCTGGCAAACAGGGTGTCAGATCCCTCAGGGACAGTGACTACTCAGGCATGAGCATAGTAAGGCCAGTGAACCATAGGCCATGGTTTTTCTTGAGTTGTCAAGAAGGATACACTTTTGTTCTGCTGGGTTTGAACCTGGGAAGACACAGTTAAGGAGCTGCTGTCAGCCTCTTTGTTATCATATACATCATGGGTTGAACTGTGTCACCCAAAACCAAATGTTGAAGTCCTAACCTCCAGTAACTGTGAATGTGACCTTGTTTGGAAATAGGGTCTTTGCTGATGTAATCAAATTAAAATAATGTCTTACTGGATTGTGGCGGGCCCTGAATCCAGTGACTGGTGACTTTATAAGGATAGAGAGATTCAGAGATGCAGGGACACAGAGAAGGTGGCCGTATGATGATAGAAGCACATACTGAAGTCACGCAGCTGCAAGTCAAGGAATGCGAAGACGGATGGCTACCACCAGAAGCTGGGAGAGAGGCATGGAATAGATTCTCCCCAGAGCCTCCAGAAGGAGCACGGTCCTACCCACACCTTGATTTCACCCTTCTCGCCTCCAGAAATGAGAGAATAAATTCTATTTTTTAAACCACCTCTTGGTAGTATTTTATTATGGCAGCCCTAGGAAATTAATACAATATATAACCTAGAAATAACCAACACTCAAGAAAGCAATGTCCAGAGACTGGGTCCTGATGACACTCTCTGAGCCCCTGATCAAGCCACCCCGACAGGATGAGCTCTGCTTTTCATTATGGGAGCCAATCAATATACTGTTATTTTTTTTTAATCTTAAGATAGTTTGGGTTATTTTTTCTGTTAGCAATCAATATACTGTTATTTTTTTTTAATCTTAAGATAGTTTGGGTTATTTTTTCTGTTAGCAACAATGAAATTAGCCCTAACTGATACTGTATACTGATAGAAAAAAATCTGGATAATATAATACATAGCTATGTTATATACAGTACCAAAGAAATATCTCTTTACCATATTGCAAAGACAACGTTTAATCATGAGAAAAGGGCACTTGAGGATCATTTTTCCTGAGCAATACGTAGTTATGGTTAAGTAACCAGAGCTACTCGTATACGTAGGTCATCACTTCTTGGTGGCCAGCTTGAAACATGAGCATAGTTTTTAATTTCCAAAGTTGCCTGTTTTACTGCTTTCCACTATAGAAACATTACCCTTATTTCCTTCTGTTGACTTCATGAAAATGAGGTATGGACAAATCTAATCATTATTACAATGTGCTTTATTACAAAATACTAATATTGTTACTGAAAATCTTAGCACTGAAAAACTCCCAGCAGATACATATCACCCTGACTTGCATGCATAAGAAGTTGGTCCCTTTTTAAAACTAAATTTATTTAATTATTGCAAGAGGACTACATTCAGTAGTAAGAGCTTCTATGCTTAGAGCAGAAAGAGACACAAATTCTTTTTACTCCACAGAGGTAATTTCTAGTGGAGACTTTGGGGACCCATCTCCATCATAACCGGCTTCTCCCCCTCCTCTGAAACCATGAAGCCCCAGCCGAGAGTCAGGGAGGCACGAAGCACCGTCTATTTCTTACCTTTAATATACTCTAAGATGCTGTTTCAAGCTCTACTGTGTCCTTATGAGTTCGAAGTGACTAGAATAGGAAGAACCACACACCAGAGACTTGGACCTAGGACTTCTGTCATTTCATTTTATAAAGAACTATCTTAAATAGCATTCAGCCTCTTAGAGATGAAATTAAGATAGTCCCTTTTGTTATTAAGACAGCTTTTTGTAATTAAATATGAACAGGACTGTCTCTGCTGCAAATTTCGCCTCTGAGCCCACAGACTAATAAAAAATGTACTGCAGATGAGTACTGAGTTCATTACATTATGCTACCACAGTAATCTGGATCAGCTAATCTTATTGGTTGCTTGTCACAAGATAGATAGTAAATAGATTTAAACATTAGTCAGACTTAAAGCTTAAATGCAGGTGATGCTATGTTTTTGCAACAATTTAAGGATTATCAAATAGCATCCTTTACCCAAAAGATATTCTTTAATGGCCTTGACTGAAATTCTTCACTTTTCACTTTAAGTTATTGAATGCAGGTGTTAAAATGCAAATGTTATCTTGGAGGCATAAAATATTGACATTATCACCATTCACTGAACTAATATTCTCTAAGTGCCTCCTCCCATGTACCAGGTTAAAATTAGGTAATGAGATGAGCTGGTCAGTTGCTTAGTGGACACCTGAGAGACTGAGATACAGGGCAGGGAGTCGGGATTCATCCAGAACACAGAGTACCATGCAGAAGGGGAGACCTCGTTGGTGAGTCATAGTGTGTGGCCTGGACATCTGGCAGGTAGTTTTGCTATCAGGCCACTAAATCACCTCGAGATAGGATGCAGGGAACTGGGCACTGAAAGATGGATGGAGAAAAGATCATCAGGTCAACTTTCATCTTCTCAGTTTTGCCTAGTGTAGGCCTTGTGGAGGAAAACAACGTTTAATGTACGATAACAGTAAAACCAAGTTTTCCTTATTTCTGTTGTTTCCTGAAACTAGTAGAGTAGCATTTGCCTTGCCAACTAGGGTAGACAATAATGGGGCTAAGTGTCATTCTCCCAACTGGACAATCTCAAATAATCAACTGTGCAAGTTGATTAATCTCACTCAAATAATCAACTGTGCATCAGGCAAGATAGGAGGCGTGGAGCTATAACAGAGTTCAGTCCTAGAACCACTGCCCCTGGAAAGTGTCTGCTTTGTCAGTCCTCTGTCAATGTCACCTCTCATACAGATGAGTACACACAGGGCTTTGGAATGAAGCATCTTTGCAAGGAGAAACTATTACTCATTCCCACGAAGCCCCTGACCATCCAGGCACCGTGCCTTTTGTTCAGGGTATCATGGGCGTGCTTGGTTGGGGGAAGGGAGGGAAGACAAGCAGTCAAGTCATCTCTCTCCCTGGCAACCTTTCCGGCCCCACTTGCCTCACCACTTCCCTTCCATTTGAAAATCAAAGGAAAACTGTTTGGAAGACGACAGTGTCATCAAGCCGGTAAAGTCGCAACTAACTTCTTTTGGGATTTATCTTGTTTTCAAGGATGAGCTGAAGATTTGCTTTTCTCTCTTTGCACCGTAGCAGAGTTGATTAAGGTAATGACTCAAAAGAGGGCCTATACAGGCTATACAGACTATATTCTAAATTAGAGTTCATTCTCTGTTATCTGGAATGCTACAACCTGGGAAAAGATAGTATACTGGTGTAAAAAGGAAAATCATGGTCATCTCCTCTTGGTCCTTCCATGTTGCTGCCCTCTGGAACCAGTTCAGCCCCTCTCCTGTGGGTGGCAGGTGTGCCCCATGCAAAGACACTGCACCGGCCTCAGTGTGCACGCATGCCTTGTCACAGCACTGGGTTTTCTAAGTCCCCCACTAGGTATTCAAGAGTATTTATGATGAATTGATGCTTAATTGTCATTTTTTTAGAAAGAAAATCATATAAGTTAGATTTATGAAGAAATACTCCCTGTATCAGTTTGTGGGTTTGGCTGCTGTTATTTATGAATTCAACATGGAACACTGATGTAACAATAATAGTTCGAATTTATATATCACATTTCCCTTTTTTCCCTCAGTTTTCTATCCTATGAACTCATTTCATACTCACAACAACTTTAGAATTAAGTATCATACTCATTATTATTGCTGATTTGGAGATAAGGAAAATGAAGCAAAAGCCAACAGTTGTGGTAAATCTTTCTCTGATTTTCTGATCTATGGCTAGTTTCCAACCAGCTGGACATGTCTAGTCATGTCATTAACAGTATCCTCAAAAGCAGTTTAAATCATTTCTTACAGGATTGATTATTCCAGTGGCATTGGAATATAAATCAAAGTTTTCCTCAAATTTGGAAATTAGTTTAAGTGATGCAGAAGCATCTAATTGGTTTCATTTCTTGGAACAGGGAATATCTACTAATTATCATCTGAATAGAATTCAAAAAGCAATCTTTCTTAGCAGTGCCACTAGAATATATTAAAACCAATCAAATAAAAATGTGTATTTATATATCATATTTTATTTTTGCTAAAAGCAATATGATCCAGAAATGAATAATTCAAAAATTCCTAAGTAACAAATCCTTTTTCACGGCACATATTTCTCCAGAGTGCTAGATTTTTCACAAAATATCTTGAAGAAAAGTGTAAACAAAATCTTTTCTACTAGAGATAAAATCCAGTGGTAGGTTTTTTTGAGACTCTAACATTTTACTGGCAAACAAGCATGTCAACACCTCTCATGTGAAATCAGTTTCATATTTTTATTTTTAAATTCTAGAGACAGATATAAGAAGACAAGGCTTTCCTATTCATAGACCTCAAGTTCCTTTAGGACAAGGACCTGATGCTGTTTATTTACAGAACTTGTGAACAGTCATGCATATATAATAATAAATGATATTTTAATTTCCTCTTTTTTTCTTTTTTTTTAAATAGCAGTTTGAATACTTGGGCCAAGTTGGTGTGTGTGTCGGGGATCATGACTTTCCATTTATCTAGCTTCAATCCATTCATCTCCAGTGTCACCGGGATTTGTTAACTGCTTTAAAAAAGTCACAGGAAAGCACTTGGCATCCTGGGGGACAGAGTGCAGATCAGGTCAGAAGGAATGGAGAGCCCTCTTGCCCTCCCTGAATCAGTTTCACGGCAGCTTAGCCATCAACCTCATAAGAGACGAGACTTTCAGGGGCCCTGACTCACTCTGTCCCCAAGGATTTCCTTCTCAAGTGTGCTGTGGTGCCTCCTCCTTCTCCCAGCTCAGTTCGTTGAGGGCTTTGTGGCTCTGAACAGCAGGACTTAAAAGAAATAATATCAGCCAGTTAAACCATTAGCACCAATAACATCATCTGATTGACCCAAGCCAAGCAAAGAGAGTGCTCACGAAGAATAAGATACTTAACAATCCTGCTGAGGGAAGGAATGGGCATCCAACACGTGTTTTGGCGAGAAGATGGCAGAGCCCAGAATGCCTGGATCCTCAGGTGGAACCACACGAGGATGAGGGGAGAAGGCTGCCCGGAGACACAGAGGAATCCTGTCTATATCTTTTGCCTTACATCAGGTTTAAGTATTCATAGGGTTTTCTCTCCCAATCAAAAAATTCCAGCTAATCCATTCAAAATGAACTTGGGAGGGTTCCTTGCCCCACTCCCTTATCTTCATTATCTCTGCCTCACCATTTTGTTACCCATAATTTTATTTCCTCATATTTTCATCTCTCCACAAATAAATGTATTTGGCCTCTGGTCCCCTCACTTGGATTTTAATATGAACTGATAACTCAGAGAAGGGTAGAGGAAAGAGGATGCAGCACCCCTCAATGCCCTTTGCCCATTTTCTGTTATGCCTAAACAAGAAGCGGCCAGAATTGTCCCCACTGAGCCAGAAACTACCTCGGGGGACAGCAGGAATGTGACAACTGAGGGGCTGAGAGAGCCAAGAGTTGGCGCAGTCAACTGAGGGACAGGAAAATCACGAATACAAAAGGCAGAAAAAAGCTGTGCAACAGGGTGAGAATATAGAGAACAAAAACAGCAGGAAGGGAGAGTAAAGCAAAATTGAAAAATAAATAATAAATAAAACTGCTATAGAGAAACCACAGCAAGAGGGCAGAAAAATAGCAGAGAGAGGAAAAGAAAGAATGATCATCATATCAGAGAAATGGAGGAAGGGAATCAATACCCAAGCAACAGAGAGGACCAGAGGAAGGGCAGTCCAAAGCTAGAATTGATGCAGACAATAACAGTGATTACAAGTTGGAGAGGTACAGGGTAGCAGAATAACAGGGATGAAAAACGAAAAAATGGGAGATGGGAGGTGGCAGTGAAAAAAGAATCATCATGAAAGAGATCTTTCATAGCCACGGCTGTAAAAAGACAAACAAATGTGATTTCGAAGTAATTGTTTTCCGAGAGAGCTGGGGGAGGACGGTGGGGCTGGCTTCCCCTGGTCACCTTAGAGCATCTGCGAGATTGGGGGCTGCCAACAGAGCACAGTGGAGATGAGCTGGGACGATGCTCCCTCACCCCCTCATCCCCCTTTAAAACGCCCTATTCGCCCGAATGCATCCTGCTGTATTTACAAATCTAGTCTCTCTCCGAAACCCACACTGTTGGGAAATCTAACTTTCAGAATTCTTCAAGGGTTGTGAAGCCCCAAGCTGCAGGTCTATGACAGCCCTTTTTACAAGCTGAGTGGGGTCATTTCTCTGCCATTTGCCTCGGTGGTTTTCCAGGGGGAGAGGGGAGCGAGGTAGGAGGTAGTTCTCGCCGGTGTTCCGGGGTCAACACCCTGGCTGATCAGCGCCCGGACCGACCCCCTTCCTCCCGGGGAAGAGGAGAGACGCTGGGGACCACCAGCCCAACTCCTGCCCGCTGTACTTACGTCGAGGAAGATGGACATGCCTTTGGACAGCTGCAGGGCAGAGCTGAGCTCTTGCGAGGAGTTGTTGGAGGACGGCGACGTCTCCTGGGAGTCCTCCATCCTCGGGCGCCCTGGCGCCGCACCGCTGCCTGGCCGCGCCCGCCCTCGCGGCTCCCCGGCCGCCGTCCTCGCGGCTCCCCG